CCCCGCCGGGGGCCGCGGCGGGCGCCAAGGAGCTCGGCAACTCCGTGAGCTTCAAGGCGGACGGCGGCGGCGGCGAGGCGGGCGGGGAGGACGCGGCGGGCCCGCGGCGGCCCTACGGCTTCATGCAGCGCCAGTTCACCTCCATGCTGCAGCCCGGCGTCAACAAATTCTCCCTTCGTATGTTCGGGAGCCAGAAGGCGGTGGAGAAGGAGCAGGAGAGGGTGAAGACGGCCGGCTTCTGGATCATCCACCCCTACAGCGACTTCAGGTGAGGCCGCGCGGGGCCGCAGGGCGGGGCGAAGTCGGAGCGGGCAAACTTTACTTGGGAGCCGCGCGTGTCGGGGACAGGGCACCCGCGCGCACACCCATGCACACGCGCGCACACCCATGCGCACACGCGCGCCCGTGCAGGCCGGGACGGAGGTGTGGGCGAGCAGGTGCCTGGGCAGGAGTCCGCGGCCAGCCAGAGTTCCCGAGACCGAGCAGGGCGTTTCCAGAGCCCCAGCCCGAAACAGAGCGACACCCTTTTTTTGACCTTGACTCCAAGTGCTCAGAAGATCTCTTTCCCGTTTCCCATCTCCGGAGGAGAGTCGGGCGAGCTGAGGGCAGAACTCTGCTTTGGAGATCGCATAGGAAGACGTGTCCCGATCTTATTTGCCGCCCAAATATTCGTTGGGTTTTAAGCATGTTTAGAGATTGTCAGATGAAGGTCGCGAGGAAGATCCTCTTATTAGCGCGCGTAGGCTGCTCAGTTGCGTTGAATTCTCCTGAGCGCTGCTGGACTGCCCATTTAAAAGCCCCAAACGAATAACTTAGAGTGGTATTTATTTTTTTAATTGAACTTGTCTGCAAAAAGAAAAACAAAAAGGGAATCATCTAAAGAAGTGTGTGCATACGAAGCAGTTTTAACAGAGCAGTAAAAAGCAGCATTATTTTGTGCTCAAAAACTAAGCAAAGCGCTGGCAGTCGTTGGAGCTGTCCACAGTTCTGAATGACGTGAGCGTGGAAACCTCTCAGGGTTTTCCACCTCAGAAAGCTCAGAGCGACCTCCTTCTGCTTTTCTGAGGTATATAGCATCTCGGAAACCAGGAGCCAGTGTTGTTTACACATAGAGTGAAGGGATTTCTGGATGTGTTTAAAATACTTATTTGCAAGATTTTGAAATCTTATCTGCAAAACACATGGGAAAATCTAGGACTTAGAAAAGCTAATGACAATTGTATCCTGTAGATCACTGAGAGATTGAAAGAATATTCATTCTAAAAGGACCTATTAAATAATAAAACATGTTTTGTCCACTAAGAAGATACTTAGAGAAGCAAACTTACAGATGACCTTGTTTTAAGTCAAACTAGACTGTCACATTCTGTAGAGCCAAGTCTAGAACACTGTCCCTTTCCATTCCCCATGCAAAAATGTTGCAATGAACACTACAGTTTTTAAATAAAAGAGCTTTCAGCCTTAAAAATGAAAATTATATACAATTCCAGAAATTTATAATGGTCAGTAAAGCAGCATGCAGGTAAAATGATGATGCTATTGATCTAATTGCACTTTAAATTAAAAGGTTGCATATGATGCCCATTTCTTCTGTAGTGTGAAAAGGGTGACACTTTTCAAAATGGTAGCCAGTATCAAATAATCCCAGAGGCCACCTGGCATGAATTAGGGTCCTGCGCCAAAGTCACTGAATGCAGGAGGTTCATTATTGCAAGAGATTCTCCAGATTTTCTAAAACAAATCTTGTGACAGAAAAATCTCTTTAAAGACCAACGTTATTGCTAAAGAAAGGGAGACATTGAAATTGGTGGCTGGTTCGGCTTGTCATGTCTTTCAAGGAAATGGAAGACGACGAAGAACTGCTACTCTGGACGAGGGGCAGCAGGGAGTGCATGAGGCCGCTTACTTTCTCTTGCACAAACAGAGGAAAGAGAATGAAAGGCATAGATTAAACAGCCATTGTTGTATAGACTTTTAACAGTAGAAAAATATGTGAAAATAGGCTTTGAAACATAATACAGTGTACACTGGTTTTCTACAGCAAACTAAAGGCAATCATACACTTAACTGTGTTTTGAAGACCTGCACATCTTATTATTTCACTAATGTTTTTGCATGAACTCAGTACCAGTTTAAGATTTTCTAAAATCATTAGCACATGGATAATATAGTTAAATGGAAGAAAAAATATGAGAGTCAGGTCTGGCAGCAAATGTTCTTCTGCAGGAAGAGTAGTGTGTCAGTGATTGTCAACAGATCCTTACCTTTTTTGCTCACTTCAGCCCTTTCCTAAAGAACATACTGTAAGGGAGGTGCTTGGCCACAGTTCCTAAAATACCAAACTGCAGTTTGTTAACCGTCGAGCAATGGAGCAAGTGACACTCAGAAGCACATTTCTACCAGGAGGGAAGGTGCTGGAAGTCACAACAGCGTCAGGAATCTTTCCTGCTGTTCTCCCCAGGCTTTGGATGGCCAGGGAACTCAGCTGTCCTTCTGCCTTCCCTACTCAGCTAGCACGCGTGACCCTTCACTCCGGGCACACTACGAGTTTAACATCCTGGCTGGTGTTCTAGTTTCAGGGTAACTCTCCGGCTGATTTCTCCTCACCTCCCTCTAGGGGCAGAGCTGTGCTCCCGAGACACCCAGGCAGCTAACTGGTGCCTCTCCCACTGCTGCAGCCAGGCCAAGTGTTGTTGCTGTGTCTAGCAGGTAGCCTCTCCTGCCTCCGGTTAAGTAGGCCAGCGGCACTGTGCTCCCTTGTTTCTTGGGAGAGGATGATGCCAGAAACTCTCAGGGGGTGAGAAGGCTCTGGTAGTATCAGCACAGCTAGAAATGTCTAGGTGGCAGCTGGAGAATTTACTCTGAAAAATCACATTTTTGCATACAGAATAGCATGGAAGCACTCAGACTAGGGTGAAGATGAGGAGGCACTTCAGCGAGTTTTGCATGGGGTTTTGGGTCTGGCGGATATCGTCTCATTTTTGGCGAGTTTCATGTGAATAGTGCACATTCTAATTTCCAGGTTAAATATGATTTTTTAAACATTACACACCTAAGGGAGGCTTCGGTGTGTAGTCACCTATAGAGATTACACATTTATTAGTTAAGTTCTGCTTTTCATTGTTTAGTAAAACCATTCCACAGGATAAGCATTGTGCTTTCACAGCCAACTGGTAGTTACGATTATTCACAGAGATGAAGAGAGTACTTGGAATGCTGTTAGGGATGATTTGTGCAGGGGTGGCAGGGGGGGTGCTGGGCACTGAATCCAGGCCTCCGTGTATGTAGGCCGTGGCTCTCACACGGACGTACACGTCTAGCTCAGTGAATTATTCTTTATGCAAATGATTTACCTGGCAGCATTTCTCAGTGGTCTGTTTGCCATTCCAGCGAATCTGATGTTACTGTGCTAGACCACGTTTGCGTGAGCCTCTTGCAAAGGTAGTGCTTTTCTTCTGTGCAGATGTTGGCTGACATCTTGCTGCTGCTGAGAGAGGAAGCTGTATGTCTTGACTTTTTATTGCCTCTGCCACTTTGCTTCATGAGTGCAGCTGTGTGAGATGCTTGCCCACACTGTGAGCACACCAGGCCTCTGGAGCCTGCAGGGAGGAGACTTCGGGAGGACACCCCTGCCCTACCCTCGCGTCTCACAGCGCATGGGACGGTGCTGGTGCAGAGGTCGCCAGTGAGTTTCCTGGGAAGGGAGGCTTCGGAGAGAGACAGCTTGTCATGGGAGCGTCTCCCAGGAAGGCAGAGGAGCGTCTGGGGTTTAGGGTCTAATGAGCCTGCTGCCTGTCGTCTTTGGCTGAAGGCACGTGTGCTCTCCCAGGAATGCATCTCCATATCAACAAAGCCCAAGTAAACCATAATATTTTTTTCCTGTTAGGTAAGTCTTTTTATATCTTAATATTTAATTCAATTTTTGTAGTGAGTTTAGTAACTGGTAAGGCCAATTAAAGTGACAGATTTGAAGGTATTCAAAGGTATTTATTTATGTAGTTACCTTTTCATATTAAGCATGCTGTAAAACTTAGAGTTTAGTGAATGTCTCACTACAAATTCAATTTAAATATTACAGTGATATAATACTATTAAACTACCACAAGATGGTTTTCATTTCCTTCTTGAGCGAAGTTCTCTTTAAGCATACTTTTAAGGTCTTGTTATACATTAGGGTCCGGTGGGCAAATACACTTCAATTCTTCTATTTCACCATATGCACATCCATCGGTGAGCTTGTCTGCCCAGTGATGGTGAAAGAAGCTTAGATGCACTGGAAAGATATGCTACTTACTATTTTTTTTTATCATAGGCTCACTTAGCTACATTGACTTCCTTGCTTCTGTTTGATAGAGATCACAAGCCGAAACCCCACGCAAGTTTAACAGCAGCTGTAATTCTGAACTAACCACACATCCTCAGTGGTCCTCTGACCTAAAGTATACTTGCGGCTAACAATGGCATTTCTCACTGTTAGGGCTTCACCTTCATAACTGCAGTTCTTGTGGACAATTCACCAAATTTCTATAGAAATTGGCCCGAGGGCAAAAACTTTGAAATATAGTTTTTCATAAGGACAATACAAATAGTAGCAGATATTTCTACAGCATGAAGACTACTGAATATTTTCAGGCTCTATGACAAATTTTCATGCTATCATTTTGTGTCAAGAAGTAGAAAACAGGAAATAGCCTGACACCTTGCATTTTAGAAATAGAGGTAATGGTAATGGAGAAAAAAAATTGCCACATAGTAGGAAGAGAATATTTTCATTTAGAATAAGTAATTCTCTTCTAAAAGTAGTTTTCCTATAAAGGCATTTTGGTATATAACTTTCCATGAGGTTTTTAGAAAAAACAATTGGAGTACTTTATCTTGAAATTTTCTGTTTTTCAAAGTAAACCTTCATAGTTGTATATTTGTGTATGTGTGTTCACATGGGTGGCATACATGCATGTTGGCATAAAATATTTGACAGAATATAATTGTGTGCATATAAACAGTGATACATTAACTGATTCTGTGTCAGGGGAAGCGCTCCTATGAGCTATTTCTTTCAGCTCTCACCGACACAGCTGGTTTCATGGCCCCTGCAAGTCTACTGGTCGGCATTCTTCTGCTTCACCTAAACATCACCACTCACTAAAGGAAAGAAGCAAAACTACGCATTCTGTAGATTTACAGCTTGACAATCCTACTTACATAAACTGATTTTATGTCCAACACTTCAGCTGTCACTCTATAAATTAATAAGCGAATTCTACAAAC